TCGGCAAACGGCAACGCAAACTTTCTTTCGCGGTTGCCAGCACAAGACACGGACAAAACCGGCCCCGACTGCATTGATGGTGTCGATCAAGCGGGTGTTTTCCTCATTTGGGCTTGCGGGCGCAACTATCACTCGTCGTCTACACCGGAGGTCGGTTTGGGTGGGCTCCGCCCTCTTTGCACGGCAGGAGTCTTTTCGCCCCCAGCGTTGCAGCCCTCCGATTTGGGGGATTTTCGCCGACATCACCCGCGTCGGGTGGATGCTCTGACGGACTCAAAGATTGCCTGCGAAAATTCTCAGCGGTCCCCGGGGGTCTTCATCGTCTCGCCTGTTCTCGCATCTTCAGAGCCTGCTTCCTCATTGACTTCGGATGCGTCCCGCGTGATGTTTCCTGTCGCGTCTTTGGCGACTAGATATGTGCACGTTTTGTCTTCGCTTCCGGAGCAGGGACCGCTCATTTCTTCACGGACTCGGGCCAAAACTACCGCTGTTTCCGGAGGCACCGTCACCGGTCCCGCTTATTTCGGACGCCAGCCGCGGGCTACCATCGTCCCTCGGACATCGTCGCCTGCCCGTCGCTCTAGCAGGTCCCGCTCGACAAGCAAGACCACCCAGACCGCCGCGCGTCTGCTGCCGCCATCCGCGACGCCGGCATCAGGGTTTCGTCGACTGCTCTTGCGCCACCGGTGTCTTCGCCGTTAGCGGCGTGCCCTGCATCCCCNGGTCCCCGGGGGTCTTCATCGTCTCGCCTGTTCTCGCATCTTCAGAGCCTGCTTCCTCATTGACTTCGGATGCGTCCCGCGTGATGTTTCCTGTCGCGTCTTTGGCGACTAGATATGTGCACGTTTTTTCTTCGCTTCCGGAGCAGGGACCGCTCATTTCTTCACGGACTCGGGCCACAACTACCGCTGTTTCCGGAGGCACCGTCACCGGTCCCGCTTATTTCCGACGCCAGCCGCGGGCTACCATCGTCCCTCGGACATCGTCGCCTGCCCGTCGCTCTAGCAGGTCCCGCTCGACAAACAAGACCACCCGGACCGCCGCGCGTCTGCTGCCGCCATCCCCAACGCCGGCATCAGCGTTTTCGTCGACTGCTCTTGCGCCACCGGTGTCTTCGCCGTTAGCGGCGCGCCCTGCATCCCCGACTTCGCCTTCTCTACAGGTTTCGCCCGGGACTTCGCCACTCACGATGTCCCCTTCGCGGACATTACCCCGGACTGCGGCTGCCCCAGTCGCTGAGGCTTCGCCTTCTTCCGCCTCTTCCGTTGGATCGCTTGATTTTTTTTCGGAAACTTCTGATTTGGACACCTCCCACTTGCGGGCTTGTGTTCAGAGTTTCAGCACTGTGGAC